CACTCGTCGGCTTATACACGCCAGCAGCAGCCAGCTAAACCAGTTAAACTACAAACTGGAAACTAATTTCTATGAAAAATACACTAATGAAGAGTAAAAGTTATCATAAATAATATATGAAATTCCATAGGTATATTATTTAACAGTAAACATAGTTATGTTATTAATTCTCAAGCAAAATAATGCAAATTTAATGCATTCATGGTAGAAGTAATTTCATTAAATCATTGTAGACTATACTGCGCCCCATTTTAGCTAAAATTTAAAAACTTTTGTATTACAATTTTTAAATCTTTGGAATAATAGAATGGTTGAATGCCATTCTTATTTTAACCGTTGAGAAATTACAATATAATAATCTGCACTGAATGAGAAACTCAATGGATTTTGATGTCTTAAGAAAATAATATTTACATTTTACTAAACAAATAAAGTAAGAGTTGTTTATAATATAAAAAATATATATTTTTCTTAAATCTCTTGCTTTGAGTATTATATTTAATTATTAATTTTAGAATATACACATATCATTAAAGCAGATACGAATATTTCTAAATAATAACAAAAATAATATAAATGAATTCAGAATATAAAATATATTTATATCTAACTACCATTTTGAAACTAGTTATATATATAACAATAAACAGTTTTCTTTCTAAAACGTATACAATACTAAATTTCTATTATTGCAACAATGTGTGTCGAGTATGCGGGGCGTGTATTGCCAAGTAGAATGTCATTCATTGACAGCAAGGCTACCTACACCTACACACGCACACACACACAAGCGGAGTTCCATGAGTGCATAAAATGGCTGCCATTGTTGCTGCCACCGCTGGCTGCCACATGCCACATGGCTACACGTGTCTGGCCAACGGAATAGGAATAGGAAAAGGAAACTAAATGCCGGAAGTGCGAATAAAATTTTGCACTAGAAAAAAAGAAATTGCAAAACTCGCTGCATATTTGCTTAAATATGCGTGCAAAAATGTTTATTAACTGAAGACGAGCTGCAAGAAATGGAATTATCCTTACATACTGTATAAATTTAAGCTGAATATAATCTATATTATAAGTCAAGATTTTGCAATAACTGAAGTTTTATAATAAACAAATTCAATGAAAGCTAAAATGTTTAGTTAGTATCAAGCTATATTTTAGTTACTCGTTGACTTCCATTAACAGGCTTCAATGCAATTCTTACCTTCTGTGCATCGTCAAAAGCATTCAAAATAAAATATTTAGTGATATATACATATTATGCTGTTGACCATACTAAATACTAATAAAATTCTATACTTATTCGATTTTTCTCAGAGAAAAGGATGGAGGTTGTGGGTCATTTTACATGTTTTTTTTCTAGAATTTTCTCAAAGCTTCTTGGACGGTTTAGCTTATTAGGGTTAGGTTTAGCTTAAAAGCAAAAATAAAAATGAAAATCATTTTAAAAGTTCTATAAATGTAGAGTTTTTAGAATTATAAAAAATATATATTTACAAATAAAATTGTTAATAAATAATAAATCTGAACTACAATAAGTTTAACATAATATTATTTAATACTAAGACAAAAGTTCCCATATACCACATAGTTAAGATAACTCTTTGCTAGACACTTTCGATTGGATCACATTGTATATATTCTTGATTTTCAACGTTGAAAAATTGTTAAACAAAAAAGAACAGCCACTGTGATATACAGATTAAATGAATTCGACTACATCAACAGCGAACGTTCTCTTCTTTTTAAGCAATTTACGGCCACGATTTGAAGCTGAACAAATCACATACTTAAGATAACACTATTAAAGATTTATTTCACAGACAAATTGTTGGCTATTTGCGATGCAACCAAAAAGAACAGCCACTGTGATATAGAGTACTGACAAATACATATAGTATATCAGCAGCAGCAGTTCCCTGCGGTTAAACGCAATCTCTCTGGATATATGTCTGCGAAAGTTTCACTTTATATATTTGACAATTGGTAAAAAATAATGTTGTCTGGCCATTTAGGTACAAAAAGAACAGCCACTGTGATATAAATGCAACAGATATACTCACAGCATCTATTCTCTCTACTTTAAAGGCAAAAACACTAGACACATAGATATATACACTAATACATATATTCACATTCATATTGTAGTCTGACGGACTGCACGCGCTATAAAGGAAAATCACTGTGATATGTAACGGTGGATTAACGCATATCACAACGATCGTTCCTTTTAGCGCATGGCCCACTCATCGAGCTTGCATTTTGAACTTTTATAAAAACTTTTCAAGAGATATATATATAGGTTATATAGCCGCTGCTTATGCCACAACGAACTTCAATGGTTGTCTAGCTTTATGATCAGAGAAATCACCTAAGGCTGGACGACCAAAGAAACTAATTGCAACCTCTATATGATATAGATTTTCTTTTCTCTTTAAGCTTGAACCATGCACTAGAAATATTTTGTATTGAAATTGTTGAACATTTTAAAATTATAGCACGAGTGTTCGGTCTAGTCACTTTATATAGAATCTTTGGTGTATATGTTGAAAAAGAGACCATACCGACAATCGCCATTTAATTTTAAAATTTTATAACTTTGGAACACTGGAAAGGAAACACTGAAAGTACAACACTGGTTCTGTAATAGTACACCGCGTAACTGTGGAACGCCGAAACTGAAACACTCTTCCTTTGTGCCAGCTGCCCCAATTTTGAGACACACTTTGCCCAGTGATGGGTTTCCAATCGTTAGACATAACTGCACAAAATGCATCCCAAAAGCAGAGCTGCGAGAGTTCCATTGAAATGAGTAGACTTTTTCCTTGCTGTTTCGTTTCGATTATACGACAAACTTCACCCAGTGATGCGCACAACATAGAACCCGGCAAAACTGAACAAAGTTTACCTTATAATATTCTGTTCTTGTATATAATTATATGCACTGTGCCACTCCGATCCTTACACACAAACACTTGAATGTTAACTGATGTCCTAGACGAGCGCAACGTGAACTTATATACCTTGTGGCATAGGCGTACCTGAGCTGGGACTAGGTGCCTGGTACCTGGAATTACCTGTGCTTAGCGAGGCTTTCCCTGGAATTCGCAGTTCGGCCTTCGTGAAGAAATTTTGCAACTTAATCCGTGGCCATAAACGGATTAATCTCGCATATTCTGGGTAAAAACGCGCAGCTGTGTCGCGGCATAAATTCGCAGAAGTGCAATTAGGTCCCGAATACCAAATACTGAATACTAAATGCCGAATTCCGAATCCGGAATCCCGGATTTCTGTCGTACGGATCGCCGCTTGCTTAATTGCTCAGTTAGTGCGAAGCACAGTTGCTTCCATTTTACTATTTCATCAAAAAACCCACATCGATCGTCCTGCCACACAATTTTTGTACGGACTGTACGTAAAGTGTGTCTGGCTTGTGCAGATCGGCTACTGTGCTTAGGTCCTTCACGATGTCCTTGCCGCAACTGTACTCGGGGAATACTGTGACCAAACGGAAAACCAAACGGAGACCAAACATCATATAAATATATTGATGCAGCTTCTTTTCGGTTCATCGCGATCAATTGGTGTTTCCCTTTGTTCCATGAGAATATTCTTAACTGTACTTCACATTCATAAAGCAGGCCAACCGACAGCCGTACTCTTATATAAACAGCTTCCTTTGCAATTGTCTAGATCAGTTGTCCGCTTTGGATCACTAAGTGTAAGAGTTTCCAGGATGAACAGTTTTATTTATTTGAGATTGGAACCGTCCCCCTGAACTATCCAGAAAAGTCATAATAACGAGTGACTTTCTTTTAGACTACATCAATAATTATTTGTATACTTGGTTGCGTAAAATTCTTTTTTCATGGAAAATATCCGTAAATTCCAGAAACCAAAGATACTTTTTGCAGCGTCATGGAGATAGAGATTTAAGGGGACATTGACTAGCTTTAGTTTTATGATATTACCTCGTCTTAGCTACAATTTAAACTTCAGCCGATAGACATCCAATTATGAGATGAAAGAATATGGTAATATACCATCATTAATTAAACAAACAAGAAATTTGTTAAGTTCAAATTGTATATGATTCTTTATTATTTTTAATATTAGTTATTTTCAGATGGTTGGTTCATTTTATATATCTTAGATTTCTTAAGTACTCAATAGTTTGTGTAAATAACTTAAAGGTAAGTACTCATATGGATGCTTATTTAAATATAACAAACATAAAAATAAATGTTAAAAATTTATTCAATAAATTGCTGCCACATTAAGACTGTTTGAAAGATCAAGTATTTCCAGTCCAATCCAAAATCCATAAGACAGTTTTGTATTTAATATATCTATATACAAACAGAAAAACTAAATAATAATATAATAATAATATAATTAAATATATAAAAGCACAGAATATTATTATAATAGTATAACCGACGGGCTATTTTATTTGCCTGCTCGGCCATTATTTGGTTTTATTTCCAAGTCCTTTTATTGAGTGGGCTATATGATCTATAGGGCTAGATACTGAGCCTCTTAACTGTAATCATTCTGTAAAATTGGAATCTCCTTGGCATGAGTAAATGTCTAGATTATATTTGACCACAAGTGGAGTCTCTGAAGATTGACCAAAAATTATGTCTCTATGACCACTAAAAGTTATAATATTCAACGATAATATATTTATGTTTATTATAATATTAACCTCAATTTTAATTATATTTTTATTTATTCAAACAACGCCTAGCGACGTGTTATGTAAATTATTATCATAATTTTATGCCCTAAATTTAGATAATTTTGTAAGAGGATTGCTTTTGAACTTATTTTATAAACTTAAAAATTATACGATTCATCCATCGGTGCTTAAGAACTCTGAATGATTAAATCGCGTTGTTTTTTTTTTTTTCTATATAATTTCAAGGATCGATAATAAATCGCACCACAAGTAATATAATTGAGTAAAAATGTATAGTCATGAAAATACAGAGTATACAGAATTATATACTTAAGTACATAAAATGTCAAGTTTGAAACTATTTTGAACCAAAAAATGGATTTAAATAAAAAGAATATATTTAATGGGTTATTAGTTAATCTGTATATTTATTTCTAGTGTACAATTTAGTGTAAAAAATATTTGCATAAAATAATCACGTTACGTATCATTTCATCAATTGTTTGGTTGTATATTTGATTCCTTTCAAATATGTATATTTTTTCGATTTCTCCCTGCTTTATATAGAACTAAAGTTTTGTATTGGCCTCATTTAAGTGAATATTAAATAATACTCAGCTATGATCCCCTTGTTCTGATAGAAGAACCTTCATTGATCTTCGTGGCAATTCCAATTTATTTATAAAGGGAAACCTTCTCTTCATTTTTCTATTCCTATATCACCTGCTTACCCATAATATAAACCTTAACGAGGGTTTCCTTTAATCCTGTAATGAACCAACCCCACAAATAAATAAAAACACATCTTTTTTTTTTGTTTAGCTTTCGCCATGTATTTTTTTTATTTTTTTAACTTTTTTTTTGTTTTGTTTATTTGGTAAAATTAAATCAATATCTTCATTTCAATTATATATTTTTTTGTTATTACCTTTTTTCAGTTATCTTTTCTTAGAAAAACGAACATAATTGTTTCAAATTTTCAGCGTACAACTAGAAGAAGAAGAAAACAAAGATTGAAATAAAACCAGATGAAAGTTGGAAAATCAGAAAGAAAATAGGGCAAATAGAAGAGAATAGTAGATTCTAAAATTCATAACTAGGCTCTGTTCTTGTTTGCAATTTATGTTGTTGTTGTTGTTCTTTCGTTTCTTTGATTCATGTTGTTGTTGTTGATATTATTCACTCTCCTTCTCTGTCTCACTCTCTCTTTCTTACACACTCTTTACTCATCCGCACTCTAGTCACTCCATAATACCAGCTGTGGGAAGTAAAAAAGATGTTCAACAAATATTATTGGGAAGAAAACCTTAAGACAAATTATTAGCGAATTGTTTTCTTCAAGCCGCTTTAAAGGTTGTTCATGCTGTTGTTGTTGTCCGTTTTCTATGGTATGTATATGTCCAACGCACTTGGCGTTGTAGACTAAAAGTAAAAACAAAACTCTGCAGCTTTAAAATGGAAACCTACAAAGGAAAGTCTATTAATATTGCAATTTTCTTTGAACAGCTCGTCTTCTTGAACACTCACCGTTTTGTATAAAATATATGGGCTTCCATTATATTGGTTAGCATCAAAATGCCAAAAGGAAATCAATGGGTAGGTTAACTATGAAAAACTAAGCCTTAATGGTAGATGTAATAGCTTTTTACACTGCAAATACAAGAGTTTAAACAAATTAATCAATTTGAAGATTAAAGTGATCAGAATTAGATAACTATAAATTAATACATATTTATAGTTAGTTGTACTTAGTACTAAGAACAGAAATTATAGAAATGTAGGTAGTGCTCCAAGGAAAAATTAAATAATTAAAGAAATCTGTAAAGGTAAAGAAATACATTTTAGGAAGAAATTTAATATATGTGTAAAATGCTTAAAGACTTAAAATACTAAAGGATATGTTTTTTAATTTAAAAAGTTTATTTTGTCATGTTTTATTTCAAATACATAAAGTAATTATTGACGGCTAATTTTTGAAAATAAAAATGGTCATTAAAGAATCATTGAATATTCAAGAATAGATTTTTATGTTAATAATTTTTCTTTGAAATAAAATGTTTTACAGAAAAAAGAACAATTTTGTTTTAACAAAAGTTTCTATCAATTTTATAATTTTGAATGTATACTTTGTATTTGAAATTTTCGTTTTTAATTTTTTATTTGCTATTCAAGTTTTACTTAGCAATTAAATAATTTAACGATGTATAATTAAAATTTTCAAAATATATTTATTCTCTTTCTTCTTCTTCTTTTATTAAGAACTTAACTTTTTTTCTTAGCGTCAGAATATTTGTCTTAAACATATTAAACATAAATATAAATTGGAAAAATGTGATTTTGAGATTTTGTTTACTAAAAATTGAGATTTTGTCTTTTAAAGCTCTGTTAAGCATAATTATAGTAGCCAAATACTAGGAACAAACATTTTTGTTTAAGCATAACTAATTTAACATTAATAAAGAAAACAGTCTTGAGCAAAATAAGCAAAACAGAATGGAGATAGATGGGGAAGAGGACAACAGATAAATAACTTACAAGAAATTGTCGATGCCGCAGTTGCGGCGGCTGCTGCAGCAGTTGATGTTGTTGTTGTTGCTGCTGCTGCTGCTGTTGCTTCTGGCAGGGCTCTGGCAGCAGCTGATTGTTGCTGTTGTTGATGTGGGTGTTGCTTGTTTTGTGGTTTTTGCATAGGTGGTTGCTGTTGTTGCTGTTGGTTGTTGTCATCATCGTCATCTATATAGTAGCTGTAGTTTGTGTTGTTGCTGCCGTTTTTATTGCCAACAACGGTTGCAGTACATGGGGATGTTGTTGTTGTTGTTGTTGTGGATGCTGTTGCTACTGCTGCTGGATGCTTGCGCTTGTGTCCGGTTATGCTTAGAGCGGCCGTTAGACTAGAAGCCGCATGCAATATAGAACGCTGATTAAAAATGCTATTGGAAGCAGCCGCCGCGGCCGCATTGTTGTTTTTGCGAAATTTATGATGATGATGCTGCAGTGGTTGTTGCTGTTGTTGCTGCTGATGCTGATGTGCTTGTGGCATTGGCGGTTGTCACGAGCAGGCCACCTCAGCTGTCGTTGCGCTGTTGCTGTTGTTATTGTTGTTGTTGCTACTGCTGTTGCTGCCGCTGCCATTTGTTGCCTGCTCTGGTGTGCTGTCCATGCAGCTGTTTTCGGAGCCATTCTTAGCGCCTGCCTTGAAATTTGGTGCACTCATTTGCGCTGATGTTGGCGTCGTGGGCGTTAAGCCGCCCATTTCACTAGAGGCATTCGAATTTTCTTCAGTGAGCTATTGTGGAATTACAAAGAGTCAAATTAATATAAATTTATATAATGCAATAGCCAGGTTAAGAGCTATTTACCGATTCACTTAATCTTTGCACCTTATTGCCGCTATCGCGTCCTCTTGGATTTGTGGGCGGCACCTGCTCTTGGGACGCCGCCAGCTCTGACGACAGGCGCTTGCGTTTCGCCATCATCGAATTATTGAAATTATTGTGATTTTCCATGGATTTGCGTTCACGTTTCAGAAAATCGGCATCCAGGTAGACCGAGAGCTGTTTGCGCTTCACATGACGCGCTACAATCGACATGCCCTCCTTCAACATTTTAATATTTACCTGCAATTGATTTTATGATTAATGACCGGGATTATATCTCTTTACCATCTGCTGCTTACGCCATGCATATTCACGTGTTCGGTGAAATTCTGTATGCTCTCGGTGAGGTCGATGTTGAGGTTCTCGGAGCGCTCAAACTCCAGCCCAATAAACCAAAGTGAGCAATAGGGCGCAGTAGTGATGGCTGCTTGGGCCGACTGCTGCTTCAAGTCCTCCTCATTGCCGCTATTATTCTGCGAATTATTAGGAGTCGCAGCGCCCTTCTTCAGCTCGAAGCATTTGGGATTCACATGGGCCAAGACAATGTGTGGAATCCTCTCCAAATTGCCAATAAGCAGGCGCACCTTCGACTCAACCAGACCGCACCATTCCAAATGATCGTCAGCTGTTTGAGAGTTGACGAGCAATACAATAAAATGTCGATATCTGTAAAAGAAACTGGGCGCCTCGAACAGGCGATCCCAGCCAACACGGCCAAGCATTATCTCATCTGTAATGCTCATGCCGCGATTAAATTCGGTCAATATGACCTTCTTAGTAGACTCCGATACATTGAATGTGGAGTTTTGTTGTGGATAAGCGGGCGTTATAATTGGCATTAAATGATAACGATCCGAGGCATTGACACGCGGATCCCAAACCTGAAAAGTAATCAATATATTCAATTAGGGATTACATATTTTAGATAATCTATATTTTCCTATATACCTGAAATCGTAGATTCACATTGTCCAGGTGTTTTAGCAACACAGGATTGGGCCACTTCCAGCGTGAGAATACCAAAAAGAATTTGTGCACCAGCGTGGCAGCAGCTGCATTCGGATACAGCTGACATGTGCGTGCCACTAGCATGGCCCAGGTGACGCCGCCAAAATAGCCCAGTGAATTCGAATAGATGCCATGCCCTAGAAGACAAAAAGGATTTATAAAATATTTACTTCAAACATGTAAGCTTGTTGCTCTCACTCTTTGCCCACAATTTGATGGCGCGCAAGGCTAGGCGAAAGTTCTCGATGTTGGGCACCAGGGCAAGTATTTCGTCTGTCACACGACAGCCATTCAAACTGCGCACCGAACGTGGGTCCAGGTTCTTCAGCAGATTATCATCGCGCAGATCAAAGTCATCTGGTATCTCTTTGAGCGAGAGTCGTGCGAATAGCAAATCAATTTCAACTCCATCAAAATTCATTTTTATGACGGGCACAAATGCCTCCTCGACAGATCGACACTCTGTGACCTCGGGCTGCTTCTTTAGGATCTCGAAGAAGCTCTGAAAGTAATCAGAACGTTCGATATTTCGTGGTGCCACGCACAGAGCATCAATATCCGCTCCCTTGTGATGCACGCCCAATCTGTATGAGCCAAAAGTGTAGATTTTGCCGCCCAATTTCTCGGCCGCTGCTTCGGGCATATTCTTGCTAACGGATATATCTTTCACCCACTGCTTCACGAGTGTGTTTAATTTGGCTAAGATCTCCATGCGATGATTCAGCTCTTCCTGAGTCTCGAAGACATTGTATGGTTCGAGGGATTTGCATAGCTCTTCGGTTCTCAGCAAATCCTCGGCACGCGGCTCGGCCAAGCTAATTGCTGATGTTATGCCCAATTGTTTGGCAGTCTGGCCGCTGCCCGAGGTAGAATTGCCATTCTGTTGCTGCTGGCGTTGTGTTGGTTCGGAATTCCACATGGTGCCGTTGCTTTCTTTTATATATACGCGTATATATATATAAATATTTAATTACTGCAAGATACTTTTAATGTAATTAAACTAATCTAGTAAGAATTAAATTTTACTCACCTAACTAGTCTTACAATGTAGCTGGTTTTTTTCTTTCTTTTTGACTTAATTATTACGTTGCTGTCGCAGTTGTTGTTGTTGCTGTTGTGTCTGTTGCTGTTGCTCTGTTAGCAATAAATGGAATTATATTTCTTGCCCGCTAGCGCAATATTAAAATGCTGAAAATTAAACATATACATAAAACATATTATTAAGTTATTGAGATTTCATCAAATTAATTTTAAAATTGGATGCTTCCAGTAAATTAAAACATTTTACTTTTTTTTTTTTCAATTATTTTACTGTCGCAATTTTTATTTTTCAACTTATTAGACAATTATAATATACATTCAAATTCCAAATATAATATAATCAATTAATATGCATATACATTTCGAAATTTCCGGTAACTTTTCGCATTGGTTTCGTAAATATTTCTTTGTCGCAATGCAATTGTTTGTTTTTGTTTTTGAGCGATAAGTTATTCGGTCATTAGATGCTAGCGAAAACGATATAAACAAACAAACAAAAGATATGTGATGCTCGAAAAAGCAAAAAATGTTAGTGCTCAGCTTTTTCAAAAGTGATACTAAAGAAGCAGTAAAAAGCTAAATAACTCAGTGTCAAATCATAGCTAGAAAAGCTAAATACCAAGGCAGAAGTTTGTTTGAATACAAATTTTTTGAAATGGTCAAGAGATATATATAGATACTTATTAGGATTATGACAGTTGTATAATAAGAAAATGACAATTTTTTCTTTCAATTATTTACGTTAAAACAAAAAACAGATATCAATTAGCTAATCACAACGGAGCATATTAAATAAAAGCTGAAGGGAGCAACACTGTTTGACAAAGCTGGTCACACTTAAGAACGGAACGCGCGAGTGAGAGCTTTTCTCCTCTTTGTTGCTGCTTTGCTTGCCAGCATAAACAAATGCGTAGATATCAATTTTGTGTTGTATTTGGATAAAAGTGCAAGCTAATTGTCGACACAACAAACATAAACAGAAAAGCAAAATCAAAACGGAATCACAAATCATGAGATATTTCAAGACACCCACACACACTCACATTCACTGGTTTAATGACAACGGACAAAAAATTCGCTCGCGTATATATACACGCACACGCACTCACATACTAAAGATGCAGGCAGAACTTGCGTATACACAAACAAATGGCGATGCGTAAGGAACTTTTAGGAACCGTACGTTTGGTTACTACTTCTGTTTACTGCCCACTTACCTGCGCTTTTTGTTGTTTTACAATTGGGCTAAGCTGAAGTTACGTTATGTGTATGTTGTTCTTGTAGTTTTGGTGGTGGTGGTAGTTGTTCAAGTGTATGCGTATGTTTTGTATGAATATGTGTGCATATGTATGTATGTATGTAGTTTGGCAGCGTACGAGTGTTGAGGTCCATTCATTTGTGTCGTTCCGGCTTTTTTCGAAGCACTTTTTTCCTCTTTTCTTTTTTTGTTGCTCCGCTTGTATTTGTTATTTGTGTCGCGCTTTGAATTTATTTTATTCTCTGCGCGTTGTCTTCTTCATGCTCTCATCTCTTTCATATCATTTTCGCTTCTATGCCTATACCCACATGTAACTTTTTCTTTTTCTATTGGCCTGCTTCTGTTTTTTCCTTTTGTTTTTTGTATGCTACGTGACTGTGTGACTCGTTCGCTGACTGACGCACGCCATACACAACGCAAATCTGTTTTCATTTAATTATTAATATTCCAATATGATGGACGCGCGCACTGTATTGATGAAATTGCGTAGTGTTGTTTTTTCTCTACTTTTTCTAGTGTGTATTCATTTTCGGTTTCCGTTTTACAGTTTGATTTGCGCGTTCTACAAATTAATATGCCAAGAACCGCAACGAACGATACGCATGTGTGTGTGAGTGTGTGGATAATAAAAGAGAAGCCAAAAAGATGCAGAGTTGCTTTGCGGTTTGGTATCGGTGACCATTCACGTGGAGACGTTTGTATTCCCGCTCTCGACTGCTTTTAATTCATGCTTTAAGGGATATGTACTTAAGTGCATTTTGTTTTATAGAAATTAATAAACAAATCAATACTGCTTTTGTCGGTGTTCAAGTTTTTGCACATGATTGTAATGTGGAACGTATGAATAGCCATATTTCCATTTAAATGTGTTCCACAGTGAGTCAAACGGTGTGGCAGCGCCGAAAAACAGCTGTGCAGTTTATTTGTATTTTGAGTAAATTGGAAAAAATAACACTACAT